CGACGAGACCCAGCGAAGGCACTTCGACGTGAGCAGGTCCTGGCATGGCTGCGATTGTGGCGAGAGTACCCAGAATATCACACACGTATTGCGAGATCGTGGGATAGCATCCGTAGCCGCCTACGATTAGCGGGTTCGCGAAGATGGAGAGTTTCGAAGGGCCCCATTGCAGCTACGATTTCAACCTTGCTCGACATTGGTTGGGACCCCGTCAGCCCGATGGTGTGGTCTTCGGATGAGCAGTTCGAGTGGCACATCCCGTCTGTGGCGTCCCCAGAGTTTGACAACTTCCACGGAGACTTCACGGACATCCTTGATGACATTGAGGCCACGATTGACAGACAGTTGTGGCGTGCGGCGGCCCTCCACGAAGCTGCCTCGGACCTCTCGGAGGGCGCGGACATGTACCACGTCTCCAGGGAACTCAGCCGCCTCAAGCCAGACCTCGAGGGCGACAACTGGGCGTTGGACGTGGTGGTCGTCACGGGCGCCCAGTGGACTCGTGAGCGCTTGCGCGCGGCAGGCTACCGTATTGATGGCCTCTGCCCCCGCTGTTCCAAAGCCCCCGAGGATTTGCACCACCGAGTGTGGGCCTGTGAGGCCAATGTTGGCCATGAAGATTTCGAGAAGAGCCAGGTTTTGGCCGAGAAAGCCCGGGTGAACCATGAAAGCTGCCCGAGTTTTTGGCTCCGCGGGGTCCCTGGCCGGGCCGAAACGGTCCCGACCTTCGCGGATAAGCCTCCCATCCGAATTTCGTTTGGCACCCTTGCAGCCGTTCCCAGAGACGCCGAAGGTTTTGTGACCTTGTTTGGGGACGGGTCGGGTGGGAGGTTCTCGGACGACCCTCGGCGTCGAAGGGTCGGCTCGGGTCTGATCGGTCTCGCCCCCGAAGGGGCTGTCTGGCGTGCCGTCTGGGGTCTGGGCTGCAGCATCGAGGGCCGAAGACAGACCGTGCCGCGCGCTGAGATAACCGCCTTCGCCGAAGCCCTTGAATCCAGCGATGGCGACGTCCGTTTCGTTACTGACCATCGCCCCCTCCTGGACTCCTGGACCAAAGGCTGTGGGTCTGAGCCGCCGAGCAGCGGGGTGAATATAGACCTTTGGGCCAGGATCCAGGCCGCCAAGCGTGATCGTGGGCCTGGCCGAATAGAAATTGTATGGGTCCCCTCCCACCAAGAGGAGATAGGAGGACTCTCGCGCACGCAGTTGTTTTACGCCTTCGGGAATGAATGCGCAGACGCCTTGGCCAGCGAAGCTGCCGAGCTTAGCTGGACTGAATTCGTGATTTCGCCCCCCCCCCAGACCGATGTTCGGGACTCCGAGGCCGCCCTGGTCCGTCGGAGGGCGCGGAGAGCCCTGGCAGCGAGCATCCAAGCCGATCCCTGGACCTGCGAGCGCCCTGGAATCGAGGGGGGGGCCCCGTTACCTAAGCTTGCCTGTGCCCTGCGTGACTCAGAGCATTCGTGGTCCCGTGCAGGGACGAAGTATATATGTAGGCGTTGCAATTTGTTCTCGAATCAGGATTCGATTTTCCAAATGTGTGCCTCCCGTTGCAGGCCCGAGCAGACGCCCGACTTCTCCCCCGTTCGTGCTGGCTTTCGGGTGTCGGGTAGAGAGCTCCATGGGTCGCACACTCTGCAGAAATGGGCTAAATATAATTTGGTTTTCTGCACGACTTGCGGCAAGTCGTGCACCACCGACCCGAGATGGTTGGTCTTGCGTTGTAATCCAACGGCCAAGGGCCGTCAGAATCTGGCGGCCATCAGGTCGGGGCGGTATCCGCACCCGTCGGGACCGCCAAGAGCGGTGAGAGAGGCGGAGTCACAAGGACTTGTTGGCCTCGGTGCAAGGGGGGGTGGAACGACCCTGACGACGTCGACGAGTGGTCGCGTTCCACCCCCCGAGGGAGTGGCTCAAGTTGCCACTTCCGAGGGTTAAAACTGAGGCCTCAGTTTTAACCCTCAGCGGACCTGGTCACCGTAGGCCCCCGACCAGGAGCCCTGCCTAGGGTGGGGTGCCGACCAGGTGCCCTGCCCTCTGCCATGGCGCCGTTTGTGGACGTACGCTGTCCTTTCATCTGATCGCTCCTGATCGCTCCTCCTCCTCCAACTCCTCCTCCTCCTCCTCCTCCTCCTCCTCCTCCTCCTCCTCCTCCCTCCCTCCTCCTCCTCCTCCTCCTCCTCCTCCTCCTCCTCCTCCTCCTCCTCCTCCTCCTCCTCCTCCTCCTCCTCCTCCTCCTCCTCCTCCTCCCCCCCCCCCTCCTTCTCCTCATCTTGCCTCCAAACCTTCTGGCGTTCGCGGGCCGGTGTGGTTTGGCACCAGGGGGGCCGCCGCCAGCTGCCCTGCCCGGGCCCGGTTGCCCCCCTAGGTTCCGAGGAAGACCCTTCCCCCCCCAGAAAGAGAGAGAGAGAGAGAGAGAGATAAAGAGAGAGAGAGAGAGTGAGAGAGAGAGAGAGAGAAATAGAGAGAGAGAGAAAGATGAAACAAGAGAGAATTATATTTGTATACATATATATATAGACAGAGAGAAAGAGAAAGAGAGAGAGAGAGGTAGAAAACGATAGAAATAGAGAGCACAGGAGAGAGAGAGAGAACGAAAGAGAGAGAGAGAGAGAACAAAAAAAAACAGAGCATACAAAACTCTTGCGTAACGCCGCTCATGGTTGGCGCCACAAGTCGACGAAAGCATAGCTGAATCAGACTGATACCCAGGAAACCCTGCGCCGAAGATAAAGCAAGGTTTTCAGCTGGAATCGAACAGATTCTGTCCAGACTAGGCCACTAAATCCGTGACCAGCGAGGAGGAAAGAAGGCCATCAAATAGTGAACTGTGGCGAGAGTACAAGAGTCCTCTTCCCGAATGACATGCCAAACAGCAAGACGGGGGGGCGAAGGCCGACCCCCCCCCCTAACCGAAGCAAAAAAGTGCTCAACATCGTCGTGGTGCTTCGAAGGCGTCGGAGTGCCCGGCCCCTCCCTTGAGGCCCCCAAGCCCCCCCCCTGATCTGCCCCGCGCGCGCTCCGACAAGAGCCTCGGGCCGATGATCGGGCCGTGGAATCCAGGGCGCCACCCGGGGCGCCCAAATCTACGGCGAGCCCTGGGGGGGGGACGTGAGCAGGAGAAGGCCTTCTCGGAGGGCTTGCAGGTCCCCCGGCCTCCTGAGAAGCTGCCTAGGCCTTCCCCCGCGACGCAGGAAACGTCTCGGAAGGCGCGAAGGCTGCGGGGAAGTCCCGCCGCCTCCTGAGAAGGCCTTCTCCCTCTCACTTCCCCCCCTCGCTCGCCGCCGACCAGAGTTAGGTCGGGCCTGCCCCCCTGCAGGGGGATTTTGGACGAAAAATCAAAAATTGTCGACACATACTCCCAAAATGATCAAACATGATAGAAAAATCGTCCCCAGACTATTGGTTCACTATTTTTGAATATTCCTCCTGCAGAGGGACACGCCCGACTTAAGACCAGAGATACAAACTCAAATCGCCAGACTCCAGTCGCCGATCCAAGACCATGGCCCCCGAGCAGGACGGCGACGACGTCTGGCGGGCGGCGCCCCAAGGGCCCGTGACCCGTGGGGAGAACGAGCGGCCTTGACGAGTGGTCCACTTGAGGGGCCCTGGGACACACGAATAGATAGACACAAATACAGCCGAAAATGTGATCAAGAAACGGAGAGCTTCAGAAACCTGGCCCAGCTTTCTGGAAGTCTCGTAAGACGAACCTGGGCCAGGTGTTCGTGCTAACGCTGGAGGGGCGAACGCGCCAAAGAAACTGGGCAAATTTTCGGACAAGTTGGTTGAAAAACGCCGGCCCAGCTTTCTGGGAGGAGGTTTCTTAATCAGATGCTCGACTGTAACAAGTTCCCCCATATTTTTCCCATACTTGCTGGTTTCTTGTCTTCCCCACCCAATTTCCCATATTCTCACATATCGTCTGGGGAATCGACGATGACTTCTATCTGTGTTTCTTTCCCCCTCCTGACGGACGCAGGAGGCCTTGTCGCCTGGAGCAGGGCGACGCCGCCCCACCGACGCCGACGCCGCCCCGCCCGCGCCGCCTACGACGCCAGCGCTGACGCCGACGACGCCGGCGCCAACGCCGACGCCGACGACGCCGAACACGTCGACGAAGCCGCCGCCGCCGACAACGCAGGCGCCGACGCCGACGACGCCGAACCCGTCGGCGAAGGGCGACGTCGTGCGGGCGGGCGGGGCGCACACAGCGGATCCCGCCGCGGCGACGAAGTAGCGACCCGAGGTCCAGAGCAGGACGACGACGGCAACGAGGCCGAGGCCGACGACGACGACGACGAGGCCGAGGCTGAGGCTGAGGACGACGACGCCGACGCAAACGACGCCAAGCTCTTCGGCGACAGCGACGGCGCCGAAGTCCTCGGCGCCGACGACGAGGCCTGCGCCGACGTCGACGACGCCGACGACGACGACGACGACGACGACGACGACGACGACGACGACGACGGCAACGTCGCTGGGCAAGAGGGGCATTTGGGGCGCGGCCTGCCGACCGTCGCAGGCGATGCGTCGGCAGCGGCCTGCGCGCTCGGACTTGGCCCCCTCGCGCTCCCCAAAGGCTGCGCACGAGAGGTCGCTCCAGCGAGAGGTCACTCTCGCGTGCAGCCGACGACGCCGACGACGCCGAAGTCGGCAGCGAGGCCGAGGACGACGAGGCCGACGACGACGACATTCACGACGCCAGCAACACCGACGACGCTGACGACGCCGAGACCGAGGCCGACGCCGACGACGACGACGACGCCGACGCCGATGCAGACTCGGACGACGACGACGACGTCGACGACGACGACGACGACGTCGACGACGACGACGACGACGACGCCAACGACGACGACGACGACGACGACGACGCCGACGACGCCGCCGCCGCCGACGACGACGACGCCGACGCCGACGACGACGCCGACGACGCCGACGACGCCGACGCCGACGCCGACGCCGACGACGTCGTGCGGGCGGGAGGGGCGCACCGGCGGTCCGCGACGCCGACCTCGTGGCCGACGGCGGCGCCGGGCTCCCGCCGGGCGGCGCGTCGCCGAGGCTCGGCGGCGGCTGGCGGGCGTCGGCGGCGTCGTCAACGTCGTCGGCGTCGTCATCGTCGGCGTCGTCGTCATCGTCGTCGAGTGTACGCCAGGATCCACTACTTCAGGATGGGTCGCGTCATTACTTCAGGGAGGGAGCTGTCACGACCCTCAGGTTGAAGCTTGGACAACGTCCCCAATTCAGTGGGCGTTGATCTGCCGTGACACTGTCGTCAACGGGGACGTTTTGCAGCGAGCGTGGCAGCGCCAAGTGCAGCGAGCTCACCGTTCCCAACATTCCTGGAGAGGCATCTCAGGCACATCAGGGGCCATGCTCAGATCTCCGACAGCCCTGCGGTGGTCCTCGCGGTCCGCGTTCGTTTGAAAGATCGGTTTGGGTGAACTCAATCTTCGGTGTGTGGCGCCATCAATGGTTCGGGACCTCGCTCAAGCGGCCGCTATTCGGACGCTTTGGGAGAGTTGGTCTGAAAAGCCTCTGCCAGCTGGTGAAGTCCAAATGGCTCCCAAGGAGCCAAAGCGGTACTGGATCGAACCTATCACCAGGTTGCTTCGCAGAGCTGCGGAACCCGATGACAACTCTGACGGGGGCCCCGAGATAGAGCCCAACGATGGGGACCCAGTGGTAGGTAAGCGACCTCCGTGGACTCCTTCGGCCCAGGAAGCTGCAATGTTGCGAACGAGTGCTGGAAGCGGCGTGTGGTCGCCAGCCCGTTCGAAACACTGCCAATATTGTGCAGACTCTTATTGCCCATGCTGTCGAGAGGAAGCGTGTGGCTCGCAGCATGTGTGGGGAAGCTTGGCGGAGGCCAAGGTCAGCACGAGGCGTGAAGTGATGGGGCCGATTGATGTCCGAGGGTCTCCAGCGAAAAGAAGGTCCTGGCTATGGGATCGAGGTCTTCGTCCTCGTTCCTGTGTGCCTCTCTGCCTCCGCTTAAGCGACGAAATGATCTAGGCCAGTGGCATACATTGTACGGGCCCGCTGACATGATCACGGGAACGGCGTACACTGACGAGGCTTGCAGGAAACTTTGGAGTTGGCCCGAAGCGGCCCGAGCTGACTGGGGTGTTGCCGAAGTTTCTGAGCGTCAGGTCTCTGTTGCTGTGTTCGGGGCCTTGCCAGGCCCCATGCAATCCAAGGCTCGAGCTAAACAGTGTTGTTCGTTGTCGTGTTGTGTTCGTTGTCCTTCGTTGTGTGTTCGCTCTGCCTTTGCTGCAAAACGAAATCAAGACAAGAACGGCCCATGAAATCGCCAAAATACCGTTTAGTTTGAGCCCTGGTACAATCCTCTCCTAGAGCGGAGCTCAATGCTTTTTGCCAGCCTTGCAGATAGCTGTGCTTCCGCTCACAGTGTACACGGATTTCAAAGAGATTATTGATGGAACCGCCGCGGGGCCGTTCTGGACCACGGGGCCTCGGGGGCCCAACGTCGACATGTGGGAAGCCATCTGGGCCAAGCTTGACGACCTTGGGGGCCTTGGACAGGCTCTTGACGCCAGGCATGTGAAAGGTCACCAATGAGGCACCTCCATGCACGCTCGTGGGAATAGACGGGCCGATCTTGCGGCCACCAGAGGTCGAGAGCTGCATACTGCTGACAGGCAAGCTGCCACTGCGATGACGATTGCTGGGCAGTCACGGGAGCGGCTTCTGAAGTGCTCGGTCGAAGCCTGCCTCACTGACTCTGAGACGGGGCGGGTGACCACCAAGCCGAGAGCCAGACCCAAGCCCAAGATTCGTAAGACGGAGGGCGAGGTGGGAGCAATCCCGCCTGCCCGGTGCCACAGCTTGTCTCAAGTTCCAGGCCAGCGTATCTGAAGATGTTGTTACTGCAAGCGGGGAGTCCGCAGAGCCAGAGCTAGGTTGAAGCCTGAAAGCCAGGAATCTCTGGCCAGGACTCTCGTCGTGCTGGCTGCCAGTTAGGGGGCTGGGGGTGCGTGCCCTGCGGGCTGACGTTGGGGGGTGTGGGCTTCAGGGTAGGCCCAGGGGCGGAGGGTCCCAGGACCGTCTGCTGACCTCAGGGTTGATTCCCATGAGCTTGGGGGTGAGAACCAGGGAGGTCCTCCGCCCAAGCGCCCTGGGGAAGGCGGCCTCGATATGGTGGCCCCCGCTGGGGCCCTCGATCGATCGGTTCGCCCGCGTGTCGCCTTTTCCTCCCAGGTGGAGGGGCGGACTGCTGACGGTGAAAGTCTGTCGAAATCTGACGCAAACCATTGCGCAGGTGGGCCGCAGCTTTCGTTATCGCGAAGGCCCCCCCTCGCCCAGGCCACTGTGCCAGCCAGCCCTCTGCTGTCAAGAGTTGTCCCGCCCGAATATGCGCGCGGGCCTCGTTGTTGGGTGGCGGCTGGGGAAGGTTCTTTGTGTTCGGTCCAGATTCCATAGTACGGGAGAGGCTGGGCACCTGTTGCTTGACTGCATACTCCCAGAGCC